AAAATCATTTTTATTTTTATTGTATTACTATTTTTATTATAAACCTCTGAATAAAGCTTTTCTCATCAAAATGTTTTAAATCCTGTATTTAAGGGAAAGTTCAGGTTCAAACTTTGGTCTAAAGTTGAGTCTGACCCAAACCTTCTATCTCTGTGAGGTCCGTTTCCAGATTTAAAGTTCTGATCCGGTCTGAACCGGTTCCCTGATGGAAGCTCGTCCACCGCCGTAAAAAACTGATCGGGTTTCATGCTGGTTTGGTGGATCCAGCTGCAGCAGAACCGGGTCAGATGGTTCTGAAACGAGACCAGCTGCACTGAAAGCAAAGCCTCCCAGTAGATTAAATAGACCAACGTTCTGTCTGAAGACCTGGACCCGCTGAGACCAGAGGGTCCATGTGAAGACCTGGACCCATCTCCTTCTGAGACCAGAGGGTCCATGTGAAGACCTGGACCCATCTCCTTCTGAGACCAGAGGGTCCATGTGAAGACCTGGACCCGTCTCTCGCTGAGACCAGAGGGTCCATGTGAAGACCTGGACCCGTCTCTCGCTGAGACCAGAGGGTCCATGTAAAGACCTGGACCCATCTCCTTCTGAGACCAGAGGGTCCATGTAAAGACCTGGACCCGTCTCCCGCTGAGACCAGAGGGTCCATGTAAAGACCTGGACCCAACTCCCGCTGAGACCAGAGGGTCCATGTAAAGACCTGGACCCATCTCCTTCTGAGACCAGAGGGTCCATGTAAAGACCTGGACCCGTCTCCTTCTGAGACCAGAGGGTCCATGTAAAGACCTGGACCCGTCTCCCGCTGAGACCAGAGGGTCCATGTAAAGACCTGGACCCGTCTCCTTCTGAGACCAGAGGGTCCATGTAAAGACCTGGACCCATCTCCTTCTGAGACCAGAGGGTCCATGTAAAGACCTGGACCCGTCTCCCGCTGAGACCAGAGGGTCCATGTGAAGACCTGGACCCAACTCCTTCTGAGACCAGAGGGTCCATGTAAAGACCTGGACCCAACTCCCGCTGAGACCAGAGGGTCCATGTAAAGACCTGGACCTATCTCCTTCTGAGACCAGAGGGTCCATGTAAAGACCTGGACCCGTCTCCCGCTGAGACCAGAGGGTCCATGTGAAGACCTGGACCCATCTCCTTCTGAGACCAGAGGGTCCATGTAAAGACCTGGACCCAACTCCCGCTGAGACCAGAGGGTCCATGTAAAGACCTGGACCCATCTCCTTCTGAGACCAGAGGGTCCATGTAAAGACCTGGACCTATCTCCTTCTGAGACCAGAGGGTCCATGTAAAGACCTGGACCCATCTCCTTCTGAGACCAGAGGGTCCATGTAAAGACCTGGACCCGTCTCCTGCTGAGACCAGAGGGTCCATGTGAAGACCTGAACCCGTCTCCTGCTGAGACCAGAGGGTCCATGTAAAGACCTGGACCCGTCTCCTGCTGAGACCAGAGGGTCCATGTGAAGACCTGAACCCATCTCCCGCTGAGACCAGAGGGTCCATGTAAAGACCTGGACCCAACTCCCACTGAGACCAGAGGGTCCATGTAAAGACCTGGACCTATCTCCTTCTGAGACCAGAGGGTCCATGTAAAGACCTGGACCCATCCCCTGCTGAGACCAGAGGGTCCATGTAAAGACCTGGACCCATCTCCCGCTGAGACCAGAGGGTCCATGTAAAGACCTGGACCCAACTCCCGCTGAGACCAGAGGGTCCATGTAAAGACCTGGACCTATCTCCTTCTGAGACCAGAGGGTCCATGTAAAGACCTGGACCCATCTCCTTCTGAGACCAGAGGGTCCATGTAAAGACCTGGACCCATCTCCTTCTGAGACCAGAGGGTCCATGTAAAGACCTGGACCCATCTCCTTCTGAGACCAGAGGGTCCATGTAAAGACCTGGACCCATCTCCTTCTGAGACCAGAGGGTCCATGTAAAGACCTGGACCCGTCTCCTGCTGAGACCAGAGGGTCCATGTAAAGACCTGGACCCATCTCCTTCTGAGACCAGAGGGTCCATGTGAAGACCTGGACCCGTCTCTCGCTGAGACCAGAGGGTCCATGTGAAGACCTGGACCCGTCTCTCGCTGAGACCAGAGGGTCCATGTGAAGACCTGGACCCGTCTCCTGCTGAGACCAGAGGGTCCATGTGAAGACCTGAACCCGTCTCCCGCTGAGACCAGAGGGTCCATGTGAAGACCTGAACCCGTCTCCCGCTGAGACCAGAGGGTCCATGTAAAGACCTGGACCCATCTCCTTCTGAGACCAGAGGGTCCATGTGAAGACCTGGACCCGTCTCTCGCTGAGACCAGAGGGTCCATGTGAAGACCTGGACCCGTCTCTCGCTGAGACCAGAGGGTCCATGTGAAGACCTGGACCCGTCTCCTGCTGAGACCAGAGGGTCCATGTGAAGACCTGAACCCGTCTCCCGCTGAGACCAGAGGGTCCATGTGAAGACCTGGACCCATCTCCTTCTGAGACCAGAGGGTCCATGTGAAGACCTGGACCCGTCTCCTGCTGAGACCAGAGGGTCCATGTAAAGACCTGGACCCATCTCCTTCTGAGACCAGAGGGTCCATGTGAAGACCTGGACCCGTCTCTCGCTGAGACCAGAGGGTCCATGTGAAGACCTGGACCCGTCTCTCGCTGAGACCAGAGGGTCCATGTGAAGACCTGGACCCGTCTCCTGCTGAGACCAGAGGGTCCATGTGAAGACCTGAACCCGTCTCCCGCTGAGACCAGAGGGTCCATGTGAAGACCTGGACCCATCTCCTTCTGAGACCAGAGGGTCCATGTGAAGACCTGGACCCGTCTCCTGCTGAGACCAGAGGGTCCATGTGAAGACCTGGACCCGTCTCTCGCTGAGACCAGAGGGTCCATGTGAAGACCTGAACCCGTCTCCCGCTGAGACCAGAGGGTCCATGTGAAGACCTGGACCCGTCTCCTTCTGAGACCAGAGGGTCCATGTGAAGACCTGGACCCGTCTCCTTCTGAGACCAGAGGGTCCATGTAAAGACCTGGACCCGTCTCCTTCTGAGACCAGAGGGTCCATGTGAAGACCTGGACCCGTCTCCTTCTGAGACCAGAGGGTCCATGTGAAGACCTGGACCCGTCTCCTTCTGAGACCAGAGGGTCCATTTGAAGACCTGGACCCATCTCCTTCTGAGACCAGAGGGTCCATGTGAAGACCTGAACCCGTCTCCTTCTGAGACCAGAGGGTCCATGTGAAGACCTGGACCCGTCTCCTGCTGAGACCAGAGGATCCATGTGAAGACCTGGACCCGTCTCCTGCTGAGAGGTCTAAGAAGAAGTCCTCCAGATGGTCCTGTTGGTCTGTTTAGACCTCATAGAGCTCCATCTTCCTTCTAACCAAGCTCCAAAGTACTATCTGCCAACCCAGACTCAGCTCAGACCTTTGGTTCTGTGGTTCTGTGTGGTTCCTTCAGGTCCAGATGTTTGGTGAGGAGAACCTCTGAGATTTAACCACAAACAGGTTTCAGTCAGAGGCAACAGGACCTTCTCTGAAGACGTTTCCTCTCCAGTAGTCTGCAGACTGAGCAAAAGTCCAGTGGCCTCCAGTTTCAGGCTGTTTTTCTGGTCTTCATGATCCAGATGATGCAGGATTTAAACAAACATGTTTCAGTGATTTAAATCTGGGTTGGTTTGATGAAACTGATCCAGGAGCAGAAGTTCTGTAGGAAGGTGAGGAAATCCACAACCTTCTGGGCCTGGATGAAGAAGTTTAACTAAGACCCATCAAAGACTTTACAGATGTCCAGCCAAGGACTGGAGGAGGCCTCTGGTCTTGGTGGCCCAGTTCTCCTGGAGCAGGTAGTGACCTTTCTGGATCAGCCGCCATGATGGCAGCTTCATCGTCTGGATTCTCTTCTCCATTCAGCTTGGTCAGCAGACAGAAGACCTCCTGACATCCCACTGAGATCCCAGCCACCGTATCAGTGATACAGTGAGTCTGGGATCTCCAGAAGGTGTTCACCACTCCATGGTGGTCAGTAAAGATCTACACTGGTCACCTTTAATGGATCCCACTGAGATCCCAGCCACCGTATCAGTGATACAGTGATCATTTATCCCCAATAAACCATGACCCGAATGGTTTAAATCTCTAGATTCTTCAATCTCTAAATTTCTTTGGAAGGACAAACCCCCTCGTATCAGCTTAAAGACATTACAGAAAACTAAAGACAGGGTACATAGAGTACAGTAGAATAGAATAGAAAGAAAATGACACATTTAATCAGAAATGAACTATACAACAAACAGTGCAGTTAAAACCAAAAGATTTAAGTAAAAAATGAGAAAATAGTAAAACAGCAGTCACTTAACAGAACAAAACTACAGCAAAGATGATCATAACAAAACAAACATCTCTATGAGGCGTATTTAACTGTTGACATCTTTAATGTAAGATGTTTTAAACCCTGAAATATTATCGGTAGGAAAACATGATTAAAATGTTAATGAAATCAAACTGGGGTCAACATTCCTCCCTACACTCAGAATCCCTGCTGATGTATCAACTACATCTCCCAGCATGCACTCTGATCTACCATACATGCTTCCGTTCTCTTGTCCTCTGTGTCTTATTTTTATTCCCACTTTATCTCACCTCGTTTATTTTGTTATTGCAGGGAAACTGTTCTGAATCTTATCGTTGAAGCATAAAGTTTGTGTTTGTGGAAGCTATCGATCCAGAATTATGGTTAAAAACTGTAAGAGGTATTTTCAAACACGTTGGAAGTTCACAGATCAATCAAAATTGGCTGCATAAGAATTTTCGCCATTTCTCTAAGTTTTGGTCTGTTTATCTTTAGCTGATTTATATTTCCTTGTTAAATTATAATCTTTCACCGTTAGATGGAGTAGTTGATTTTTGAACAGGCACCAATCAGGGCACCTTGTTTTACGGCCCCAATCTCCCGCCCTCAGTGGCTGCTGATGAAATGATTGGTCAGAGCTCAGTAAAGGCGGGGCTTAGATGCTAGCCCATAAACCTGCATGCTTCGTCTACCCTCAGCTAGAGCAGCTAACTGTTAGCGCAGATTAAAGCTGAATTCCTTTAGTGTTTATAAAGTTAGTGCGCAGTTCATTGAATGCACGGACACAGGCACGCGCTCAGACACGCACAGAGCTGTGATGCGTTCAGTTTCCGGTCACCTCCGAAGAGTTTGGGGTGTTTTTCAACGAAGGGGCGTGTGTGTTAGCTAGAGAAGCTAGCTGTTGCTGCTAAGCGTTTGTTTCCACTGGGCTCATTAATAATTCATGATGGAGCGCTGCTATTGGTGGAAGGAGCGGCGGGGGCGGGGCTTGTTTTAGTGGCAAATTCCGTTTCCTCTCAAGCACATAAACAAACCAGAGGAAGAAGAGACACGGTGAGTGTTTAAAACATGGAGCTGCTTCAGCATCAACTGGTAGAACAGCTCAGGGTCTAATTCTGGAAGGTTCCACCAGAACCTGCTGGTGTTTTAACAAAAAATGGTTCCACCAGAACCTGCTGGTGTTTTAACCAAAACGGTTCCATCAGAACCTGCTGGTGTTTTAACCAAAACGGTTCCATCAGAACTTGAATGCTGGTGTTTTAATCAAAATGGTTCCACCAGAACCTGCTGGTGTTTTAACCAAAACGGTTCCATCAGAACTTGAATGCTGGTGTTTTAACCAAAATGGTTCCATCAGAACTTGAATGCTGGTGTTTTAAACAAAATGGTTCCACCAGAACTTGAATGCTGGTGTTTTAAACAAAAGGGTTCCATCAGAACCTGCTGGTGTTTTAACCAAAATTGTTCCATCCGAACCTGGATGCTGGTGTTTTAATCAAAATGGTTCCATCAGAACTTGAATGCTGGTGTTTTAAACAAAATAGTTCCATTAGAACCTGCTGGTGTTTTAATCAAAATGGTTCCATCGGAACTTGAATGCTGGTGTTTTAAACAAAATAGTTCCATTAGAACCTGCTGGTGTTTTAATCAAAATGGTTCCATCAAAACCTGCTGGTGTTTTAATCAAAATGGTTCCATCGGAACTTGAATGCTGGTGTTTTAAACAAAATGGTTCCATTAGAACCTGCTGGTGTTTTGATCAAAATGGTTCCATCAGAACCTGCTGGTGTTTTAATCAAAATGGTTCCATCAGAACCTGGATGCTGGTGTTTTAACCAAAATGGTTCCATCAGAACTTGAATGCTGGTGTTTTAATCAAAATGGTTCCACCAGAACCTGCTGGTGTTTTAACCAAAACGGTTCCATCAGAACTTGAATGCTGGTGTTTTAACAAAAATGATTCCATCAGAACCTGCTGGTGTTTTAATCAAAATGGTTCCATCAGAACCTGGATGCTGGTGTTTTAACCAAAATGGTTCCATCAGAACTTGAATGCTGGTGTTTTAACCAAAATGGTTCCATCAGAACTTGAATGCTAGTGTTTTAACCAAAATGGTTCCATCAGAACTTGAATGCTGGTGTTTTAACCAAAATGGTTCCATCAGAACCTAGAGAGAAATATCAGCTGTGCTGCTGCCATCAACACCTTTGTTTCTAGATGTTGGAGCTTGGCCTGTTTTCCAGTGTAGTCCTGTTTCTCTGACTGTGACTAACTGGATGTGCTCTCTTCATCCTCTGACATGGGAGCTGGCTCGGAGCTCGTCTGCCTGGCTGTGTGTTTCCTGGACGGGGCCGCCTGTGGAGCTGGTTGACAGTTGCCTTTTGTATCTATGCTTCTTTTTCTATGTCTGCTTCTGTCTCCTTGAACCCCAGTGGGCCTCAGCAGATGGCCGCTCACACTGAGCCTGGTTCTGCTGGAGGTTTCTTCCTGTTCAAAGGGAGTTTTTCCTCTCCACTGTCGCTACAAGCATGCTTAGTGTGAGGGATTGCTGAAGAGTCAATGAGTCGATGCAATCAGCTGGTTTTCCTTAGATAGAAAACTTTGAATCAATCTGACTGGATGATCTGGTGAACTGGAAAGTGACCTGAGATGACATGATGTGAATTGGAGCTATAGAAATAAACGGAATAGAATTGGTGTTTTAACCAAAATGGTTCCACCAGAACCTGGATGCTGGTTGTCTCTGATTGGCTCTGCCTCTAACTCCTCCCTCTCTCTCTCCACAGAGCTCTGTGATTGGTTGATTCCTCCCTAAGATGTCTGTGGAAGCGGACTCTGTCCTTCCTCCTGAGCTGCCCGTCAAGCTAAGCCCCACCTTCCCTCCCCCTGCCAGCCTATCAGATCACCCCCAGCTGGCAAAGCCCCGCCCTCCCATCCATCCTAAGAATGGCCACCAGCCCCACCTGCCCCCTCCCCCCCCTCCTCCTCCAGCCAATCAGAGAGGAGGGAAGAGGCGTTTCTCAGTGGGCCTTGGTTTCAAAGGCGTGGCCAAACGGCGTCGCCGTTTCAACAGCGACAGCCAGGCGGAGCCGGTTCTGCCCAGTCACTTCCTGCTGGGGGGGAACATCTTTGACCCCCTGAACCTGAACTCTCTGCTGGACGAGGAGGTCAACAGGTGAGTGGGACTCATCCAGGTCCAGAACTGTCCGGGCAGAAGCTCTGACATGCTCCACCCCTCACTGATGTCCCTCCCCCTCAGGGCGACCAATCAGGAGACGCCGCGGTCCTCCCCCCTGCCGTCGCGCAGCAGAGACGCCGTCCAGATCCTGGTTCCCAGGGACATCACGGACCCTCTGAACCTGAACGCCGGAGAGGGGGACGGCGTCCTGGTGTCCCCCCTGAAGTCCAGGAGGAGACACCGCTACAGGCAGCACGGCGGGGGAGGGGAGAAGGAGGCGGTGGCGGCCCGCCTGTTCCCTCCTTCGGCTGTACCCTCAGGTGACCAGCAGACCAGTTCCTGGGCTGTCCAGCGGGGGCGCCGTCCTCTCACTGTCCTGTCTGTCCTCCAGTTCCTGCGTCTCCTCTGTCCTGCGAGCTGAACACCGCCATCACCTGCAGGGACGATGTGGCCCCGCCCCCCATCCTGCCGCGCAGACACACCCACCCCCCGTCAGGCCCCGCCCACAAGCCCGGGAACCACGGCAGGAGGCGGCGCACCACCTCCATCCGCTCAGCTGAAGGGGCCGTAGCCATGGAAACCAGTGCTCCGCCCACAGAGTTCCAGACGCCGCTGGTGGGAGGAGCTAAAGCTGGCAGGTAGGTGCTGCAGAGTTGGTAGATCTCTGGCCTCTGATAGGCTGACAGGTAACGTGACGTCTTACCCCTCCCTGCAGGAGTGGAGGACCTCTGCCTGGCTCCGCCCCCACACCACAGAAGAAGAAGGACAAGCTGCGCTACCAGTATGGGAACCACTGTCGTTACTATGGATACCAGGCTTCCTACGGCGACAGGCATGATGGGCGGGTCGGGGCAGAGGAGGACCCCCGGCTCCGCCTCCTAGAAGCTGATTGGTTCAGAGAAAAGATGGTGCTGGATGTCGGCTGCGGCGTCGGTCACATGACCCTGGCCATCAGCAGGAAGTTTGGACCCGCCCACATCCTGGGGGTGGAGCTAGACGGGCGGCTGGTCCACGCCGCCAGGCAGAACATCAGGCACTTCCTGTCACATGACCTGGTGGTGGAGGGGAGGGGGGAGCAGCCGATGGAGGCCCCTCCCCCCCTCCCTCTGTCCTTCAGGGTGAGTCGGGGCCCTCTGTCGGCCCCGCCCCTCCTGGCTTCATCATCATCATCCTCTGGTTTCCCTGGCAACGTCACCTTCATCCAGGTGAGTCCAAAAGCTCTGTCTTAGATGTTGGTCTGGTCTCCATGGTTACCGCATCAGTGTGGCTCCTCCCACAGGGCGACTACGTGGCAGAGAAGGAGGCGTGGCCTGGGCGGGGCAAGTATGACGTCATCATGTGCCTGGGCGTCACCAAGTGGGTGCAGCTGCAGTGGGGGGACAGGGGCGTTGCCAGGCTGTTCAGACGGGCCTATCAGAGCCTGTCGCCGGGCGGATTACTGATCCTGGAGCCGCAGCCCTGGAGCAGCTACATCCGCAGCAAGAGAGCCTCGGTAACTAACAGAACCAGAACCACACAGGACCAGAACCACACACAGGACCAGAACCACACACAGGACCAGAACCACAGAGAACCAGAACCACACACAGGACCAGAACCGCACACAGGACCAGAACCGCACACAGAACCAGAACCACACCCAGAACCAGAACCACACACAGAACCAGAACCACACAGAACCAGAACCGCACCCAGGACCAGAACCGCACCCAGAACCAGAACCGCACCCAGAACCAGAACCGCACAGAACCAGAACCACACACAGGACCAGAACCACACCCAGAACCAGAACCAGACTTAGCTGGGTCTCCTGTTAACCGATGGGTAAACCTGGGATGGAACCAGGAGGAGCAGCCTCTGATCTCCTGCTGGATGGAGAGACGTTCCTCCATCCCTGAGAGAAGGAGCAGTGGAGGCAGGAGGCACAGCAGCTCCTCCTCCTCTCCAGCAGGGGATCTCCTCTGGCTTTCACAGTGATCTGAAGGAACCAGCGTGGAGCTGCTGGCCTCCATGTGGATCTCAGGGATTGAAGGAGTTCCAGCTGGTAGCGACTGGCTATAGGGGAAATAAATCACTCCATCATAAAGTGACGGTAAATACATTTTAAAAAGACAATCTAAATCCCTCAGCCAATGGAAGCAAAGGAGCGCTCTGAAACCAACAGCATTAGCCAATCAGAAGAAGGAGGGGGCGGGTCTTAGGAAAGCGTGTAGCTCCTCCTCTCATTGGATAGATTGTGGTCCGGTGCTGAAGGGAAAGCGCCGTTTACGGCTCCATTCAACAGAGAGACCAGTTAAAAATAAATGAATGAAAGTTTGTGGATTATGGAGAGAACTAATAGATAAATGGTGCTGAGCATGGCGAGGAGACGGGGCCAGATGGCACGCCATTTAGCCCCTGGAGCAGGAAGTTAGATGAACCAGGCGCTTCCTTCCCGCTGCGCTCCAGCAACGCTTGTTTACGCATCCAGCAGTGAGTAGGATCTACGCCAACCTGAGCTATAGACCGTGGTCATCACGCTCCTGGTAGATATAGATTCTAGAACTCCTCCACCAATCAGAGGGCGGAGGGAGGAGCCTACTGAGACCACATGGTTCTGGTTCTGTTCTCTGGTTCTGGCTGTGTTCAGCTGTAACCAGCAGCCTGTAATGGTCACTGCAGGCCTGGTCCAGATGTTCTGACCGCCTGTTTTTGTTCCAGGAAACGACGCTGCGTAACTTCAGAACCCTGCGGATCCGACCAGAACATTTCACCTCCTTCCTCACCGACAGCGTGGGCTTCAGCTCCTACAGACTGCTGACGCACACAGGTACCGCTCACCTGGACTCCATCAGAACCTGGACCGCTCCATCAGAACCATCTAACCTGACAGAGCGGTCCAGGGTCCGTATCTTAGACCAGAACCTGGACCGCTCCATCAGAACCATCTACACCTGACGGAGCGGTCCAGGGTCCGTATCTTAGACCAGAACCTGGACCGCTCCATCAGAACCATCTACACCTGACGGAGCGGTCCAGGGTCCGTATCTTAGACCAGAACCTGGACCGCTCCATCAGAACCATCTACACCTGACGGAGCGGTCCAGGGTCCGTATCTTAGACCAGAACCTGGACCGCTCCATCAGAACCATCTACACCTGACGGAGCGGTCCAGGGTCCGTATCTTAGACCAGAACCTGGACCGCTCCATCAGAACCATCTACACCTGACGGAGCGGTCCAGGGTCCGTATCTTAGACCAGAACCTGGACCGCTCCATCAGAACCATCTACACCTGACGGAGCGGTCCAGGGTCCGTATCTTAGACCAGAACCTGGACCGCTCCATCAGAACCATCTAACCTGACGGAGCGGTCCAGGGTCCGTATCTTAGACCAGAACCTGGACCGCTCCATCAGAACCATCTAACCTGACGGAGCGGTCCAGGGTCCGTATCTTAGACCAGAACCTGGACCGCTCCATCAGAACCATCTACACCTGACGGAGCGGTCCAGGGTCCGTATCTTAGACCAGAACCTAGACCGCTCCATCAGAACCATCTACACCTGACGGAGCGGTCCAGGGTCCGTATCTTAGACCAGAACCTGGACCGCTCCATCAGAACCATCTAACCTGACGGAGCGGTCCAGGGTCCGTATCTTAGACCAGAACCTGGACCGCTCCATCAGAACCATCTACACCTGACGGAGCGGTCCAGGGTCCGTATCTTAGACCAGAACCTGGACCGCTCCATCAGAACCATCTACACCTGACGGAGCGGTCCAGGGTCCGTATCTTAGACCAGAACCTGGACCGCTCCATCAGAACCATCTAACCTGACGGAGCGGTCCAGGGTCCGTATCTTAGACCAGAACCTGGACCGCTCCATCAGAACCATCTACACCTGACGGAGCGGTCCAGGGTCCGTATCTTAGACCAGAACCTGGACCGCTCCATCAGAACCATCTAACCTGACGGAGCGGTCCAGGGTCCGTATCTTAGACCAGAACCTGGACCGCTCCATCAGAACCATCTAACCTGACGGAGCGGTCCAGGGTCCGTATCTTAGACCAGAACCTGGACCGCTCCATCAGAACCATCTAACCTGACGGAGCGGTCCAGGGTCCGTATCTTAGACCAGAACCTGGACCGCTCCATCAGAACCATCTACACCTGACGGAGCGGTCCAGGGTCCGTATCTTAGACCAGAACCTGGACCGCTCCATCAGAACCATCTAACCTGACGGAGCGGTCCAGGGTCCGTATCTTAGACCAGAACCTGGACCGCTCCATCAGAACCATCTAACCTGACGGAGCGGTCCAGGGTCCGTATCTTAGACCAGAACCTGGACCGCTCCATCAGAACCATCTAACCTGACGGAGCGGTCCAGGGTCCGTATCTTAGACCAGAACCTGGACCGCTCCATCAGAACCATCTACACCTGACGGAGCGATCCAGGGTCCGTATCTTAGACCAGAACCTGGATTGTAACAGAACTCCCTCTGGTCCATTCCAGGTGACCACAGACCCATCTACCTGTTCCACAAAGGCTCCACCCACAGGAAGTGACATCATGGACCTGATTGGAGAGCAGAGCCTGGGCCGCAGACTGAACAGGAAGTGATGTCAGACTGAATACGGCGCGCCCAGTGGGACTGAACTCATGGAGAACATCAGAACCGGTTCTGTGACCCGGTCTGATCGGACAGGAAGTGACTGATCATTTCAAAATAAAAGCTTATCTGGTTTGTTATTTTTTTATAATAAAGTGAACTGAACGCTGCTCTGATTGGTCTGGTTCTGGTCCGTTAGTTTGGACGGGATGGAGGTTCTAAGGGGTTACAGAACCAGGATCAGGTTCTGGATCCATGAAGCAGATGTTCAGCAGCTGGAGAACATTTGGTCTCCATGAGACGCTCAGAGAGCAGCAACTGGAAGGAAACCATCTGAGAAGAACTATCAGAGGATAAACCAGGGAGTCTGAGCCCCCTGCTGGTCCACAGTGCTGTCCACCCATGTCCCTGGGGAGGACGGCAGCCAGCGGGTCAAACTAAAGGATGAGGAGGGGAGCTGCTGGAGGTTCTGATCTTCTGGTAACTAATGATCCCAACAGGAGGTTCTCCTAGAACCCAGCCCCCTGTGGGATGGACTCTGGATGGGTCGGTTTGGTTCCAGAGCCCGGTCCAAATAAATCCTCTAACTGTTCCGCTTGTTTCTCTTCATTTAAAGAATAAAAATCGTTTCAATAACAGCTCTATCTTTTTATCTTTAGTGTTTTTGGTTCCTGCAGGAACCATCCAGTCAGGGTTTCCTGTCTGCAGTGCCCCTCTGTGGCCAGAAGGTGGCAGCATTGTTAAGCTCTAGGGTTGTTATAGAGTGCAGTGGCCAGCAGAGGGCTCCCTGCTGAGTATCAGAACTTCTATCTACTGAGGATGATTCAAAAGCAGAGTCCAAAAGAGAACCAATCAGCAGGGTCAACATGTCCCCAAACATTCAGGGGTTTAAGGGAAAGATGAACTTTAGGATCCTTTAAATCCAGCAGTTAGGATCCTGATTAGTTTTTGGAAAAACTGAGATTTAAAGTTTTTAAGTGGAATCAGGAACATTTGTACACAGGAAGGACTCTAGTTTCTACTGTAGATGGATGAGGCTGCTCAAAAGCCAGGAAGTGTCCTGCTTTGTAGTCCTAAAACCAGGACGTGTCCCGCTTTGTAGTCCTAAAACCAGGAAGTGTCCTGCTTTGTAGTCCTAAAACCAGGACGTGTCCTGCTTTGTAGTTCTAAAATAAGGACATGTCCTGCTTTGTAGTTCTAAAATAAGGACATGTCCTGCTTTGTAGTACTGCAGCCAGGAAGTGTCCTGCTTTGTAGTCCTAAAACCAGGAAGTGTCCTGTTTTGTAGTCCTAAAACCACGAAGTGTCCTGTTTTGTAGTCCTAAAACCGGGAAGTGTCCTGCTGTGTAGTCCTAAAACCAGAATGTGTCCTGCTTTGTAGTCCTAAAACCAGGAAGTGTCCCGTTTTGTAGTCCTAAAATCAGGAAGTGTCCTTCTTTGTAGTCCTAAAATCAGGAAGTGTCCTTCTTTGTAGTCCTAAAATCAGGAAGTGTCCTTTGGAGTCCTAAAACCAGGAACTGTCCTGCTTTGTAGTACTACAGCCAGGAAGTGTCCCAGTTTGTAGTTTTAGACTCAGCTCACCCTGTTCCTACAGGGTTGGGTTTAGCAGCCATCTCCTGTTGGACCCACAGAACATCCCATCAGATCCACCAGCAGCAGAACCATCAGGATTTAAAGTAAATGTAGTTTGAGATGAAGAAAAGTCCAAACAGAGAAGCAGCTGGAATCACATCCAGTTTATCAGCATGTTTCTGATGTGTTGGAGATGGAACCATGAGCCAGACCCACTGAGGTGAACAGGTGGCTGGTTATCAGAGGGTGACATGAAGGTGACTGCTGGATGGAGGATGGGGAGGGCCTTCCAGCTGCAGCTCCTCTGAGGAAGAACGTTCTTTAGACGTTCCTGATCTCCACCGTCCTCCTCCCTCCAGCGGTCCCACAATGGACCCTTTGTGTTCTGCAGAGACGTCACGGGTCAGGCGGAACCAGAGCCACTCGGCCCGCAGGAACAGGGTGAGTGTTTACCTCCATGATGTCACAGATTTATGTTGTTTATTCCGTTTGTTTACAGAAACAGGAAACACCTGTTGAGTGTACTACTACGATACTACTATAGTACTTTTCAATCATAACCCTGCATTGGTTATAGTACTTCAGCAAAAGCTGCTTTCTTGCATTGGAGTACTGCTGTAATACCTGTAATAAAGTGGCAGTCTTGGTACTATAGCAATACCTGTAATATTCTGTCAGTCATAGTACTGCAAAAATACCTGTTATATTCAAAAAGTACTGTTTCAATCATCAGAGTACCTGTAGTACTGGATCAGTCACAATACTGCAGTAAAACTTCTTAAGTTTTATCTGTAGTACTGCACCAGTACCTTTAATACTTCATATTGAATCATAGTACTGCAGTTCTACCTGTAGTACCTCAGGCTCTTTGCTACGTAGTGACTAAGGAGGTCTAGACAGGTGGAGACACATGTCTCTACCGCATCCACAGTCCCTTATCACTGAACCTGAAAGCAGCCAATCAGAGCTCAGCACCTGCAGACCAGGGAGACACACCTGACTGAGACATGCATGTAGAGTCCTGAACCCTGCAGAACCGGCCCTGAACTCCAGCAGACTCACGCTGAGCGCTGCCTGTGTTTATGTTTGACAGGTGAAGGACGACTGGAGACGGTGTCTGCTGGGGACAGGACCCAGAGCTGCACAGGACGGCCAGAGGGCAACGGCAGGACATCATGCTGTGAGACTTTCGTCCTGCCTCACACGGACAAAGGTGTGTTTGTGGACAAACAGCAACTGAAGCTGGAAATGTCAATCTCACATGTTCACAGGTAAGATGAGGTGTGACAGCAGGAATGTTCTCAGACCTCAAGACCGTCTTAGAACCATGGTTCTAATGTCTGTCTCACTGACCGACGGTTCTAATGTCTGTCTCACTGACCGTGGTTCTAATGTCTGTCTCACTGACCGACGGTTCTAATGTCTGTCTCACTGACCGTGGTTCTAATGTCTGTCTCACTGACCGTGGTTCTAATGTCTGTCCCACTGACCAATGGTTCTAATGACTGTCTCACTGACCGTGGTTCTAATGTCTGTCTCACTGACCAATGGTTCTAATGTCTGTCTCACTGACCGTGGTTCTAATGTCTGTCTCACTGACCGACGGTTCTAATGTCTGTCTCACTGACCGTGGTTCTAATGTCTGTCTCACTGACCGTGGTTCTAATGTCTGTCTCACTGACCGTGGTTCTAATGTCTGTCTCACTGACCGTGGTTCTAATGTCTGTCTCACTGACCGTGGTTCTAATGTCTGTCCCACTGACCGTGGTTCTAATGTCTGTCTCACTAACCGGTGGTTCTAATGTCTGTCTCACTGACCGTGGTTCTAATGTCTGTCTCACTGACCGACGGTTCTAATGTCTGTCTCACTGACCGACGGTTCTAATGTCTGTCCCACTGACCGTGGTTCTAATGTCTGTCCCACTGACCAACGGTTCTAATGTCTGTCTCACTGACCGTGGTTCTAATGTCTGTCTCACTGACCGTGGTTCTAATGTCTGTCTCACTGACCGTGGTTCTAATGTCTGTCTCACTGACCGTGGTTCTAATGTCTGTCTCACTGACCGACGGTTCTAATGTCTGTCTCACTGACCGTGGTTCTAATGTCTGTCTCACTGACCGTGGTTCTAATGTCTGTCTCACTGACCGTGGTTCTAATGTCTGTCACACTAACCGTGGTTCTAATGTCTGTCTCACTGACCGACGGTTCTAATGTCTGTCTCACTGACCGTGGTTCTAATGTCTGTCTCACTGACCGTGGTTCTAATGTCTGTCTCACTAACCGTGGTTCTAATGTCTGTCTCACTGACCGACGGTTCTAATGTCTGTCTCACTGACCGTGGTTCTAATGTCTGTCTCACTGACCGACGGTTCTAATGTCTGTCTCACTGACCGTGGTTCTAATGTCTGTCTCACTGACCGTGGTTCTAATGTCTGTCTCACTGACCGTGGTTCTAATGTCTGTCACACTAACCGACGGTCCAATCTGTCCCACTAACTGATGGGTCTACTGTCTGTCTCATTAACAGATAGTTCTAATGTCTGTCCCACTGACCGTGGTTCTAATGTCTGTCCCACTGACCAACGGTTCTAATGTCTGTCCCACTGACCAACGGTTCTAATGTCTGTCTCACTGACCGTGGTTCTAATGTCTGTCCCACTGACCAATGGTTCTAATGTCTGTCCCACTGACCGTGGTTCTAATGTCTGTCCCACTGACCAATGGTTCTAATGTCTGTCCCACTGACCGTGGTTCTAATGTCTGTCTCACTGACCAACGGTTCTAATGTCTGTCTCACTGACCGTCGTTGTAATGTCTGTCCCACTGACCAATGGTTCTAATGTCTGTCCCACTGACCGTGGTTCTAATGTCTGTCCCACTGACCAACGGTTCTAATGTCTGTCTCACTGACCGTGGTTCTAATGTCTGTCCCACTGACCGTGGTTCTAATGTCTGTTCCACTGACCAATGGTTCTAATGTCTGTCCCACTGACCGTGGTTCTAATGTCTGTCTCACTGACCGTGGTTCTAATGTCTGTCCCACTGACCAATGGTTCTAATGTCTGTCCCACTGACCAACGGTTCTAATGTCTGTCTCACTGACCGTGGTTCTAATGTCTGTCTCACTGACCATGGTTCTAATGTCTGTCTCACTGACCGTGGTTCTAATGTCTGTCCCACTGACCAATGGTTCTAATGTCTGTCTCACTGACCGTGGTTCTAATGTCTGTCTCACTGACCGTGGTTCTAATGTCTGTCTCACTGACCGTGGTTCTAATGTCTGTCTCACTGACCGTCGTTGTAATGTCTGTCCCACTGACCGTGGTTCTAATGTCTGTCCCACTGACCATGGTTCTAATGTCTGTCCCACTGACCGTGGTTCTAATGTCTGTCTCACTGACCGTCGTTGTAATGTCTGTCCCACTGACCGTGGTTCTAATGTCTGTCTCACTGACCGTGGTTCTAATGTCTGTCTCACTGACCGTGGTTCTAATGTCTGTCTCACTGACCGTCGTTGTAATGTCTGTCCCACTGACCGTGGTTCTAATGTCTGTCTCACTGACCGTGGTTCTAATGTCTGTCCCACTAACCGATGGTTATTCTCTCTGTTTGTCTGACCGATGTGTTTGCTGTTTGTCTGACTAACCGGTGGTTCTGCTGTCTGTCTCTAAGGGAGTCTGCAGGCTGTCTTCAGTGAAGATGAGTGGCACCAAAAGGAAGAGTGGCTTTCAGATCACTAGTGTCACCTCTGATTCCGTCCACCTAACCTCTCCAATCAACCAATCATCTCCAAGAGAAACTTTGCCCAACCAATCAGGTCATTCCTCCTCAATCAGCCCCCAGGGAAGCTCCTCTCAGCCCACCACTCCATCTTCAAAGAAGAAATACATTTCCCATGATGCTCTAGGACAGCGCGCCAGTTCCCCCTCCAGGTTTAGGTTGGTGAGGCTGACTGAGGGCGGGGCCAGCAGCAGTGGGCGGGGCTCTTATAGGCGTGGGAGATGGACATGCAAAGAGTTTAAGGAGCAGTTTGAGGGGGCGGGGATGAGATGGATGATGGACAGCCTAAGAAACGCCCATTCTTTGGATTCCTTGGATATCATGGATCTGGAAAAGGGTGGAGTCACTCCTCAGTACACTTCCTGCCCTTTGGCTCTGCCATCAAGAGGAATCAAAGGGGTGGGGCTTGTTTCACCAAGTGGACCACCATCTCCGACACAGCCGGAGACAAACCACCTTGTTAAGGACAAAGAGCCAATCAGAGGACCCAGTTTAGAGCCCGCCCCTACAACGGCCCCACCTCGCCCACAGAATTTCCCGCTTCCATTACGACCGTACGCTGGCACACCTGGACAGGTAGGTACAAAACACACAGGCCAATCAGAGCTCAGATATCAAACAGAACAGAACGGTGGGTTCCTAGTTCCATCAAGGAGGCCATGTTAGACATGTCCAAACCTGAACATCTGTCCTCCAGGTTCTGCTCAGAGAACAGGCCATCTTAAATCTGCTTCATCTCTTTCTGCAAAGTTTAAACCACCCAGGTAGAGTCTGCTCAGCAGCTCCAGCAGGGGGCAGTAGTGGCTTTCTGGGTTCAGTAGAGGTAGAAAGGTCAGACCAGACCAGGCAAGGCTTTACAACCTCCTCCATGGATCAGTGGAGACCTGTCCAGGAAGAGGCAGTTCCACCAGAATTGCTCTAAGAGGTCATCAGCCACTCATCCAGGTGATCTGAGATGAACCGAGGAAAACATCTAGAGCTTTAAAGCCTGTTAAGGTCAGAGGTCAGGATTCATTAGTTAGACAGAGAGACTGGACTTTAATGGAAGACCAGAACCAAACATGGAGGTGGTAGAGTTATGGTCTGGACCTGCTACAGAACCTGGACGACTGACTGTTAGTGAAACCAGGAGGTCTGGTCTCTGTCAGAGAAGAACCGGGTTCCGGGTCTAGGACGTGTTTCAGTCACCGGTCCGGTCAAGAGATTTCTGTTATTTCAGAAATGAAACCCAGGTTCTTTTCATGGTCTATGGTCAGAACTGGGTGTCCCTCAGGATCCCGGGGACAATGGTGGGTCTCACTGTTGGAGGAAAACATTAATTGGACATAACCACGTCCACACTGCCTGTCTCTCTCCTTGTGTCTAACCTGTCTCTCTCTGTGTCTCATCTGTCTCACCTGTCTGTTTCTCTGTGTCCCAGCCTTCCTTCAGGATGTCCCAGTCTTTACCTGGCTCTCCCCCCACTGGACGCTGCCGTCCCTCCCTGATGTCCCTACACCCCCCTTCAGCCTCCAGTCTGGACCAAACCGTCTTCATCCAGCAGGAGGACAGCAGGTGAGACGCTGCTAGTCAACCTGGGTGTGTTCTGTTGGGTTTTATCAGAACCAGAAGTAGTGGACGTCCCTAACAGGGTCTATGAAACGGTTCCTGTCCGTCACCTCATGGACACCAACCAGGCAGAACATTATGACCACTGGTAGAGAGCTGATCAGCTCCTCATCACGGCGGCTGTGGACGTCCTCAGGGCTGTTGTGTCCACCCCTAGTGATGAACCTGTGTGGGTTCAGAGGGCAGCGTAAGGTGACATTTGAGGTCCAATCCAACAGGTTAGGTACTGCAGCAGATTCTGTGAGCATCAAAGCTGGACCATGAGGTTCTGATCTCCATCAGTAGATGAAGGTTCCCCCTAAAGCGCCTCAGACCTTCAGAACTCCTGAGACTATTAGTGAGGAGATGGAGGAACTGCCAGACATTAATCAGTGTCTCCTGTGTGTCCTCAGACCTGCCAGTCCAGCCATCGACAGTAAGATCCAGCAAGCCATGGTGAGTCTGGTTCTGGTTCAGGTCTAGGTTTTCTACTCTAGCTGAAGTTCTACTGGTTCTGCGGGTCAGTCGGACCCTGAAGACTGGCTGGGACCCCCATCTAACTACTGGACCTTTGGACAGACTCAGTCCCTCTATGTCTTGGCCCGTCTCCAGCTGTCCCCTTTGCTTCTGCAGGACCTGACCAAGAGTCACCTGATGGTGGCGGTGCGAGAGGAGGTGGAGCTTCTGAAGGAGCACATCAGAGACCTTCAGGAGAAGAACCAGCAGCTGGAGAGAGAGAACCACGTCCTGCGGGCGCTGACACGCCACTACTACCCAGAAAAATGACATCACCATGGTAACGGCATCGGTGGAACGTCTGCTGGACGGAGAACCAGCAGCAGCAGCAGCGATGGAGAACTGGACCTTCTGCCAGGAGCGACTGGGGAGGAAAACACCTCAGCTCTCTTCATCTAAAGCGAACTACCAGCAGGGGTCAAAGGTTAAATGTTCACACATTAAAATAAAACTCAAACATCAAAGGTTCCTCCATAGTCTTTATTTTTAAATGTCTCTTATTAATGAACCAATAAACCACAGATTATTTGAGTTACATTATTAGTTTTCAGATTCATTAAAATAAATCATTTAAAATAATAAAACTGAGATGATTAAAACAAGAAGACAGAACATGAATCAGCCCTGAGAACGAAGCTCACATCAGTTTCTAAAAACATTTAGTTTCTTCAGCTGCATGAAGACATGCAAGGAAAACAGGCTCCTTCCATGAGTCGCTCTTTAAAGGATTTATAGAAATGAGATCATTAGATCAGCTTCTAGAGCCTGATTCTAGAGCACAGTGTCAGCTGAAGGAATCCAGATGTTGGTAGCATCTCTGATTCATAACGTGACCTTAATGAGGCGCTCATTCCATCAGAGATGCAGGCGCGGTCGACCATCTAACAGCTTTATTAATAATCAGCCTCATCAGGTCACATAGAGATGAGGTTTAGATTTAGGACCAGTTAATCCCAGTCTGTAATCTTGTGTCTGAGATTATTTGGTTTATGGATATTGGTTTGTTTACCTTCACTTACCTCCGTCTGATAACTTCTTCCCTTCAGTTTCAGCTTAGATATACTTCATGAAACTAATTCATTTCTGATCCAAACTGATCAGACTAGAGTCTGAAACTGGGTCAGAACCCAGAGCTTATTAGTTCCCCAGCTTTCCCTCCAATCCAAAGTCCTGTTGTGTTGCTAATGGACGATCTTTCAGCAAACAGGTCAGGCAGCCTGATGAGGAGTCAGAGGAGGGGAGCAACATCAGTTCCTGATAGGCTTTGATTCTGGACTGAAGCTCTCCCTGTAGATGATACAGATGGCCGTCAGACAGACAGATTAATAAAGCCAACCAAACAGTAAGCCAGATAATCAACATATCAACCAACCAGTAAGCCCGCCAGCCAACCAACCAACCAACCAACCACCCAACCAGCCACACAGCCAACCAACCAACCAACCAACCAACCAACCAGTAAGCCATATAATCAACCAACCAGTAAGCCCGCCAGCCAACCAACCAACCAACCAACCAACCAACCAGTAAGCCATATAATCAACCAACCAGTAAGCCCGCCAGCCAACCAACCAACCAACCACCCAATCGACCACCCGACCGACCGACCGACCAGACGACCAACCAGCCACACAGCCAACCACCCAACCAACCAACCAACCTTTGACTTTCAGCAGGAAAGTTTTCTCTCTCAGCAGTGTTTCCTCCCTCCAGACCCCACAGCGGTAGACTCCACTGTCCGTCTCTGAGGGCCACCTCAGGGTCAGGCTCAGGTCCCCGGTTTTCAGCAGGTCTTCGTCCATCTCGGTTCTGTTTCTGTAAAGCTGGTCCTGTTTGGTCAGCTGATCCGAGCCGTTCTCGTACACATGGACCAACATCACTAGTTTGGGTTTGTTGTGACCCCAGGCTACTCTGGCATCTCCAGGTAGATCAGGTGTTGTTCTGAACGGCAGTAGAACAGACTCCGCCCCCTCCTCCACCTCCACCTGCTGGCCTGAGGAAACCATAGAAAGGAAATTAAACAGCTCCAGGTTAGATCAATCTGTGCCATCTGATTGGCTGCCTCCTAACATCCAGCTAACATCCTGTTTATCAGAACCAATGAGGGGACAGCGGACCACCTGATTGGTCCTCAGGTTTAACCCTCACACCTTTGATCTGGAGGTGGACCTGTTTCTTCATCAGGATGTCTCTGTCCCTGCTGTAGACGCTGCAGGTGTAGGTGGTGGAGTCTCCATCTGTGGGGGGTTTCAGGGTCAGACTGAGGTCTCCTGTTCTCAGGGGGTCCACATTCATCCTGGTTCTGTATCTGTAGAGCTCATCCTGCTCCTCAGGACGATCAGAACCGGTCTGGTAGACGTGGACCTTCCCGCCGTCTCTGTCCGTCCACTCCACCCTAGCGTCTTCTGGCAGGTGGGGCGTGGTTCTGCAGGGCAGCAGGACGGACTCTGCCTCTGAATCCACCTCCACCGTGTATTCTGAGGACACCAGAAGATGAGATGAAGCTTTGCAGGTGTTCTAAAGTTCCCACGGTTCTTTTGGACCTGCAGCACATTTTCTCATGATTTAAAGCCTGATTCTCTCTGCAGGTGGATCAGATGAACGCCTCATTCATTTAAACCTTCTCTCTATGAGGGTTCAGTCAGATTAGACCGGCCATAGAAGGTCTGGTTCTGTCCTGTTCTATATCTATGTCTAGGTCGGTCCTGGGGGGGCGCTGTCCTGCAGGTTTTAGAGGTTTTCTGCTCCAGCAGAGCTGATTTACACTGATAGCCGATTAACAGGCTATTAATGAAAATCTGCAATCATCACAATCAGCTGTGCTAAAGCTGAGGAACCTCTAGAACCTGCAGGTCAGCGGCCCTCCGACCCACATCAGGCACACCTGCTCTATCTGCTCAGTGGAAATCCCACAGCTGGTTCTGTGGTGCTGCCCTCTGCTGGCAGGAATCCACCTGCTGCTGCAGTTTCCCAGTCAGCAGAGCTCCTCTGAGTTCATGAAAGCAGGGCGGCCAACTTTAACCAAACCTTAGAGTTAAACTGAAATAGTTTGGACAGGCGAGCCTAACCTCTATGAAGGACCAACTCTGCCATATTTAAAAATAAATACAGAAATAAAAAAAAGTGAGACATAAATGTATATAACTCTTAATTAGCTTCTTTATTTATTTGCCTTTGTAATATCTACCTTATTTATTTTTCTGTCCTTTATAATCTTCAACTTAATTTTTTAATTACTTATATTTTTAAGTATTTATTTTTGTGCATGTTATCATATTTTTGTCTGTTTTATTCTTCCTCTGTATTTTTTTACCTTAGTTATTTCTTCGCCACTGTTTATTTCTCTCTGCCCTTTTTACATTTCTCTATGCCTTTTTACATTTCTCTCTGCCCTTTTTACATTTCTCTCTGCCCTTTTTACATTTCTCTCTGCCCTTTTTACATTTCTCTCTGCCCTTTTTACATTTCTCTCTGCCCTTTTTACATTTCTCTCTGCCCTTTTTACATTTCTGTCTGCCCTTTTTACATTTCTCTCTGCCCTTTTTACATTTCTCTCTGCCCTTTTTACATTTCTGTCTGCCCTTTTTACATTTCTCTCTGCCCTTTTTACATTTCTCTCTGGCCTTTTTACATTTCTGTCTGCCCTTTTTACATTTCTCTCTGCCCTTTTTACATTTCTCTATGCCTTTTTACATTTCTCTCTGCCCTTTTTACATTTCTCTCTGCCCTTTTTACATTTCTCTCTGCCCTTTTTACATTTCTGTCTGCCCTTTTTACATTTCTCTCTGCCCTTTTTACATTTCTCTCTGCCCTTTTTACATTTCTCTCTGCCCTTTTTACATTTCTGTCTGCCCTTTTTACATTTCTCTCTGGCCTTTTTACATTTCTGTCTGCCCTTTTTACATTTCTCTCTGCCCTTTTTACATTTCTCTCTGCCCTTTTTACATTTCTCTCTGCCCTTTTTACATTTCTCTCTGGCCTTTTTACATTTCTGTCTGCCCTTTTTACATTTCTCTCTGCCCTTTTTACATTTCTCTCTGCCCTTTTTACATTTCTCTCTGCCCTTTTTACATTTCTCTCTGCCCTTTTTACATTTCTCTCTGCCCTTTTTACATTTCTCTCTGCCCTTTTACATTTCTCTCTGCCCTTTTTACATTTCTCTCTGCCCTTTTTACATTTCTCTCTGCCCTTTTTACATTTCTCTCTGCCCTTTTTACATTTCTCTATGCCTTTTTACATTTCTCTCTGCCCTTTTTACATTTCTGTCTGCCCTTTTTACATTTCTCTCTGCCCTTTTTACATTTCTCTCTGCCCTTTTTACATTTCTCTCTGGCCTTTTACATTTCTCTCTGCCCTTTTTACATTTCTCTCTGGCCTTTTTACATTTCTCTCTGGCCTTTTTACATTTCTCTCTGCCCTTTTTACATTTCTGTCTGCCCTTTTTACATTTCTCTCTGCCCTTTTTACATTTCTCTCTGGCCTTTTTACATTTCTCTCTGCCCTTTTTACATTTCTCTCTGCCCTTTTTACATTTCTCTATGCCCTTTTTACATTTCTCTCTGCCCTTTTTACATTTCTCTCTGCCCTTTTTACATTTCTCTCTGCCCTTTTTACATTTCTCTCTGCCCTTTTACATTTCTCTCTGCCCTTTTTACATTTCTCTCTGCCCTTTTTACATTTCTCTCTGCCCTTTTTACATTTCTCTCTGCCCTTTTTACATTTCTCTATGCCTTTTTACATTTCTCTCTGCCCTTTTTACATTTCTCTCTGCCCTTTTTACATTTCTCTCTGCCCTTTTTACATTTCTGTCTGCCCTTTTTACATTTCTGTCTGCCCTTTTTACATTTCTCTCTGCCCTTTTTACATTTCTCTCTGGCCTTTTACATTTCTCTCTGCCCTTTTTACATTTCTCTCTGGCCTTTTTACATTTCTCTCTGCCCTTTTTACATTTCTCTCTGCCCTTTTTACATTTCTCTATGCCTTTTTACATTTCTCTCTGCCCTTTTTACATTTCTCTCTGCCCTTTTTACATTTCTGTCTGCCCTTTTTACATTTCTCTCTGCCCTTTTTACATTTCTCTATGCCTTTTTACATTTCTCTCTGCCCTTTTTACATTTCTCTCTGGCCTTTTTACATTTCTCTCTGGCCTTTTTACATTTCTGTCTGCCCTTTTTACATTTCTCTCTGGCCTTTTTACATTTCTCTCTGCCCTTTTTACATTTCTCTCTGCCCTTTTTACATTTCTCTCTGCCCTTTTTACATTTCTCTCTGCCCTTTTTACATTTCTCTCTGCCCTTTTTACATTTCTCTCTGCCCTTTTTACATTTCTCTATGCCTTTTTACATTTCACTCTGCCCTTTTTACATTTCTCTCTGCCCTTTTTACATTTCTCTCTGCCCTTTTTACATTTCTGTCTGCCCTTTTTACATTTCTCTCTGCCCTTTTTACATTTCTCTCTGGCCTTTTTACATTTCTGTCTGCCCTTTTTACATTTCTCTCTGCCCTTTTTACATTTCTGTCTGCCCTTTTTACATTTCTCTCTGCCCTTTTTACATTTCTCTCTGGCCTTTTTACATTTCTCTCTGCCCTTTTTACATTTCTCTCTGCCCTTTTTACATTTCTCTCTGCCCTTTTTACATTTCTCTCTGCCCTTTTTACATTTCTCTCTGGCCTTTTTACATTTCTCTCTGCCCTTTTTACATTTCTCTCTGGCCTTTTACATTTCTCTCTGCCCTTTTTACATTTCTCTCTGCCCTTTTTACATTTCTCTCTGGCCTTTTTACATTTCTCTCTGCCCTTTTTACATTTCTCTCTGCCCTTTTTACATTTCTCTATGCCCTTTTTACATTTCTCTCTGCCCTTTTTACATTTCTCTCTGCCCTTGTTACATTTCTCTCTGCCCTTTTTACATTTCTCTCTGCCCTTTTACATTTCTCTCTGCCCTTTTTACATTTCTCTCTGCCCTTTTTACATTTCTCTCTGGCCTTTTACATTTCTCTCTGCCCTTTTTACATTTCTCTCTGCCCTTTTTACATTTCTCTCTGCCCTTTTTACATTTCTCTATGCCTTTTTACATTTCTCTCTGCCCTTTTTACATTTCTCTCTGCCCTTTTTACATTTCTCTCTGCCCTTTTTACATTTCTGTCTGCCCTTTTTACATTTCTCTCTGCCCTTTTTACATTTCTCTCTGCCCTTTTTAATTCAATTCAATTCAATTCAATTCAATTCAGTTTATTTATATAGCGCCAAATTCACAACACATGTCATCTCAAGGCACTTTACAGATCAACCAGATCATACAGTCAAATTGATACAAAGTTTTCTATCTAAGGAAAACCAGTTGATTGCATTGACTCATTGACTCAAATACAATCCCCCACACTAAGCATGCTTGTAGCGACAGTGGAGAGGAAAAACTCCCTTTTAACAGGAAGAAACCTCCAGCAGAACCAGGCTCAGTGTGAGCGGCCATCTGCCGAGGCCGACTGGGGTTCAAGGAGACAGAAGCAGAGATACAAAAAGCAGCTGTAAAAGGCGGCCCCTTCCAGGAAACACACAGCCAGGCAGACGAGCTCCAAGGCAGCTCCCATGCCAGAGGACGAAGAGAGCACATCCACTCAGTCACGGTCAGAGAAACAGGACCACACTGGAAAACAGGCCGATCTCCAACATCTATAAACAAGGGTGTTGATGGCAGCAGCACAGCTGATGTTTCTTTCCAGGATGACGTCACAGCCAAACAGGAACAGACGAGGCAAAGCTACTCTGAGGAAAAGCAGAGAGAGCAGAAGGTTAGAGATTGAACTAACAGATTCTGCAGAATAGGAGAACAGAGAGAGAATGAAGCAGAATGATGAAATGGGGGTCCCTATGTCCTCCAAAAGTCTAAGCCTATAGCAGCATAACTATAGAGATAGCTCAGGATAACCTGAGCCACTCTAACTAGAAGCTTTATCAAAAAGGAAAGTTTTAAGCCTAGCCTTAAAAGTAGACAGGGTGTCTGCCTCACGGACTAAAACTGGTAGTTGGTTCCACAGGAGAGGAGCCTGAGAACTAAAAGATCTGCCTCCCATTCTACTTTTAGAAATTCTAGGAACCACTAGTAAACCTGCAGATTGAGAGCGAAGTGCTCTGTTAGGAACATAAGGAACAATCAGATCTCTGATATAAGATGGAGCTTGGCCATTTAAGGCTTTATATGTGAGAAGGAGGATTTTAAATTCTATTCTCGATTTAACAGGAAGCCAATGAAGAGAAGCCAGGATAGGAGAGATATGATCTCTCTTTTTCATTTTCATCAGAACTCTGGCTGCAGCATTTTGGATCAGCTGAAGGCTTTTAACTACAGTTTGTGGACTTCCTGATAGTAAAGAATTACAATAGTCCAGCCTTGAAGTAACAAATGCATGGACTAGTTTCTCAGCATCACCCCTGGACAGGAGATTTCTAATTTTTGCAATGTTCCTCAGATGAAAGA